TTTCCTGGAGCATTCACTGTAGACCCTACATAAAAAAACTTCTAGCGAATTCTCGCTACGTCTTTGAAGAACAGGCACTGCAGAAGAAGGTTTAAATAATCTTTTTATTTGAACTAAACTAAACAAAGGTTGCACACGCTCGGTGCTCACAGTTACCACCACTTGTGGCTAAGTAACTTGAACAGAAAATAAAAATGTAAAATCACAGTAGATTAAGATGGCTCCTTATTTATCGAAACACCTAATTCGGCAGCACGCAGAAAAGCCGAGCCTATAATATAAATATTATATGAAGAGGATGAGTCAAACTAAAAATAATTGGTTAGAATAAAATAAGGTCTTTATTATATCATAAATGTTTATGGAATATACCATACCCCTGTCTGATGAATACTTACGTTCTTTCTGTAAAGCAAACATTTCTTCGATTTTTACAGTGACATCTTATTGAATGTAAAATTAAATTTGACGACTAATTATTTTTGACGATAGGATTGTATGAACCGTTAATATTTTCGTATTTGTATAAATTTAAAACGAAATAGTAATTTCATTTGAACAACCATTAGAAATTTTATTTGAAGAATCACTACAAATAGCTGGAAGATGCATCTCGGTATAGCAGAAATTAAACATCATTTAATTTTGCTCCTGTAATCAGTAATTTTGCTCCTGATAAAGAGAAGACTATACCTGTTTCAGGTTAGGTTAGGTTAGGTTATTTAATTACGGCAAAGCCTTGAGGGCTATCTGCCTAAAGGGAGGGATGCCTTCGTGGAGGACTTTCTAAGGGAAACTGGCTCGTATACACGTTACACATGGGGAAAACCACGAAAACACCCATGCAGCCAGCCCGTTCGCTGGATTCGAATCTCGGACCGAACTACCAGTGTTTCAGCGACTTTACCGCTCGGCCGCTGGTGGGCTACCTGTTTCAGAGTTCAATTCGAAATCTACGCCAAACTATCTGATTTTACTCGTTTAAACAGTGAAGTTTTTATGAGATTTTGTGATTGTTAGGGTAATAATTGCAATCAATTTGCAATAACATGAAGCACTATTCTTGTTGTGTGAATTATGACCAAAATCCAATGCTCTTCTCTTATTCTTTTTTTTTCTTTCTATAATTGTTTATGCGTTTGTAGAAAGGAAGAAAAAAATCGAAGAGCTGCTTTCATCATGCTGATGAATCGAATAATGGCTTTGTCATGTATGAGTACGCATTGCAAACTCACACAATTGAACTACACAACGTACTAATGTACAACAGTTCTGCCAATAAGAGAGACAAATTAAAAAAATTGTTTATTTGGTACTGGATAGCAGATGTTTCATTGGCCAGTTTAAATTAAAATTTTTGTAGATTAGTACCCGGATTAAGAAATTTAGAGTCCATGCAGTCAATGACTACTATGTGCCTACCTGCCATATGTGTTTTTGATGAATACCTACTCACTTTCTGTAAAGCAAACACTCGTTCACTGCTTACAAAGGCTCTAATAGTTTCCATCAAAGGTTCGTGGTTTATAGAATTTAATTTTTAGTATGGAGAAAGATAATATTTTAATTATTTGCGTCATATTAATAGCGACATGGAAGATAATAGCACAGAGAATATGTACTATGAAAGCTTGAGTAGTTATTCACATATTCGCCTTGTAGTGTTTAAGAGAATTTCAATGTTATTCTTTTTTTACTGTTAAATCCTGGCTTTGACCCTAATCACAACAGCTCTCACATTTCAAAATTTGGCAGTGACAATGTGGTGCGCGATGAATTCCATGATCGCTCAAGCGCGGATTGAAAAAAAAATGTAAAAATAAAATAAAGATACTAAATAAAATACAGAAAGGCTTTCACTGGTATGAAATCAATTATAGAAATTCGACCGTATCTGTCTGTGCTACAAGCATTTGTTCCGCTATTTTTAACTTGAACAATTAGATGTCTTTCTGATAAGACGCTTTTCAATTAGTATGTTGTTACTAATCCCGGCTTAACGCTTGTTAGAAATAAATTTAAGATTAAAATGGAAATAAAAGCAAAGGTAAGGTTTTAGAAATATGCCACAATTGAATAATGGCTTCTCTGCCGCCATATAAGACATTATATTTCAAAACATACGTTAAGTATCCTAAAAGATACGCTTGACAACTTAAAAATTTAATTCAAAAAATAAAATTATTTAGCAAGAATGGTATTAAATAAATCACTGAAACATAGAATGAGGAATACATTGCATAATAGTTACATCAGGAAACATTCTACGTTCTGGGTTGTAAACCTGGATTGAAAACATTTGAAACTCGAAAATTTTCGAAGTACAAAATATTTCAATATTTCTGCAATATTGTTATCTGCCGTATAAATAATTAATAAAATGAATTTTTATGTGTGATATTATAGTAGATTATTAAGGTTTTTCTGAGGAAAAAAACACCTTCAAAATTTCTATTCACATTTTTCATTATTTTATCTTAAGGTATCAGACTACGTTTGACACCTAAATTTATAAAAATAGTATAAATAAATCTATTATTGGTGTTATTTAGCAGAATTCTACTTAAAATGTTAAAAACAGATAATAAACCATATTATCAAAGTATAATTGTTGTTTCTTACTTCCTTGTACGAAGTAAAGGAAGTATTGAAACCACGAAAAATTCCGAGTATCGTATTTCAACGAAAATATTCATTTTGACCGCTATCGAATGCAATTTAACGAAGTTTTTGTACATCTGTACATAAGAGCAGAATAAAAAAACTCTTTTTCCCAAAATGGATTGTAAAAGGGATTTAAAATGGATTCAGAAGCGTTTATTCCTGACGTTTGTACATACATAAGTACAGATGTATTTATCTCGCATAACTCAAAAAAGACTAGCCTCAGAAAGTTGAAATTTTATATACGGGACTGCTATAACATGTAGTTGTGCACCTCACTTTCTGATTGCAATCGGTCCCACCAAACGTATATAAATATATACATATAGATATAGATAGCCACTCTGTTACCCGGATCAGTGAACTGTGTTATTTTACTCTTATATGTTGTTAAATTGTGCATTTTTTCCTTTAAAAGTGATTGAATTATGTTGTTCTTATGTTCCGGTTAAGGTTTTTACGCTTTCAGTTAATTTGCATGCAATAGTTGTAGAATTATCAACAATTTAAAAGTAGTTTATGTGCTGCTAAGCCGAACGCGTCAGTTATTTGTTTATATTTAAAATCTCTCAGTAGAATATTCAGTTTCTGCACCTCCAGTGTCTTTTTGTCGAGTGGGATCAAAAGTAAACGTTCAGTTTTGTGCACAGAAAAATCTGCCCTCTTGTCCACTAGCCGATATGCTTGTTTTTGCGTAGAAACTCTAATTTTAATTGTAAAAATTGTTTTTTAACTGTACTTGGTGTTTTTCTATATTATGTTTTTTTGTATTTTACAATTTTAATGGAGATGTTTTGAGTTTTATGTATTTTTGGCTTGTCGTGAAGTGACAACTGAATTAAGTGAATGAGAAATATATCTATAATGATATTCGAGGAAATAAGGTTAAATACAATGCAGCAAAAATGTACATAGTTTAATAGACCGTAAAAAGAAGTTATGTAATGTCCACATCAGCTTTATTAATATTTTACTTTTTTTGGTCTCTTATATTTCTTAAGGAACAAAAATTAAGTCAACTGTAATTTAAATGATAAAATAAAATGTCTATTAAATATCCTTGTTTGAGTACATGCACAAGCTATTTTTCGAGAAATTTCTCTCTTTTCATTGAAAAGTTTGTCTGAAATAATTTTTGATATGTACTTACACATAAACTTTTAGTCCATTTAATTCGCAATATTTCATAGAATATCTGTGGAAAATTTCATAAAATTACTATATTAATATTTTAAGTTAAAGTTGTTGTTTTTTTTCCAGAGAGAAACTTTGAAAATGTCATGTTTTTTAAAAATGGTATAATATAATACAAACACAAACATAAAAAAAGAAAATGGTTCCCAGTATGAAAATTAAATGACAAATCTAATCTTGTTCCCGAGCACTTGCTAAGAAATTGAAAGATTCAAAATTATTTTTCGAACATCACCAAAAGTATTCAAATGAAAAATTCTTGTTTTAAAGTTATTTAGAAAAGTCTGTGTACTTTCAGACATCAGATTCCGGGTTCTTAAACAGAAACTTCTGGGTCACGGTAGAGGACAAGAACAATTCTGCATCTAACGACCAGACAGACAAAATAAAAGAAGTCTGGGGAAAGTTAATGAAGCTTTAAAAGAAAGTGATAAAACTCTTTTGAAAAATTTCATCGAAATCGATGATTAGAACGTTGTCGGATAAGGTAATCAGAATTCCCATTCATTTAGTTCACTCTTATTAAAATATTTGTATAACGAAGCAGCATTTTAGTAGTAAGGATAGTTTAAAAAGGATTCTTGCAAATATTTTGGATTACCTTGATGAATTACAGTTTTCTAAAGCTTTTTTTGGAAATTTCAAGTTAAACATTTTGCCAGAGATGGAATAAGAAACTGTTTATTTATTTATTTATTTTTTTTAATTTTTTTTTTTTAAATCTTAAATCTTTTGGATAACAACCATGGCATGCGCCTTTACGCCATAAATACAAGTAAGAAAATAATTATCTTCCAAAGAGGTTAAGAGAAGGAAGCATTTTATTATATAGTCATTTCTGTTTAAAGAAAATAAAACACGTACTTGATATATGTTTTTAAGAACTCGGTATAACTTAGTTCACAAGTGATCACATGCCTAATAAATGCCTAAATCATCAAATTAAAACATAGTACTCAATATGATTTATACTTTAATAAACTTATGATTTGGTTTAAAATTTATTGCCTGTATGAAAGGCATTATATGTAGCGGTTTTGTAGATATTCAACCTTAGGGTAATAAATAATAAATGCCGAAATAAAACAAGTAAATAATAAATAAAAATAGTTTTCTTTAAAATGTTTCGAAGTTTGCTTTACCTGGTTTAGTTCTTTCGGCATATTCCAATTGCTATAATCTAAGTCAATTTACAGAGCAAATCGTCCGCTTATTTACCTCGCGATGTTTCCTGTTGGTCTGCAGAAAAGTTTGCGAATGGTCCTTGTTGCCTCTCTTTCGATCAAAGTTAAGCCTTTCGCCGCGAAAAAACTTAACTTATTTTTATTTTAAGGCATGAAAAATACAAACTTTCTTTGCAAATTCCATTTTTTTCATTAAAATTATGAGTAAGCTTATTTTAGCTAAACTAACTGAATACAAATTTATGCTATCATTCTTCTAGAAGTGTAACTGTTTTGAAAGACCTCTAGAAGAATGATATGCAGAACAATGATGAAGATGCAAAAATGCAATTACACAATAGAAGCGCATGAAGAAATTTCGATGTCACAGTCGAAATCAGAAATGCAAAATAAATATAAATCGCTAAAAGTTTTTTGCATGGAAACCATTGTTTGATAAGGGGAACCATTGTTTGACATGATAAATGCTTACATTAAGGTGGAATTATGGATGATGGTAACTAAAATAGAAAACATATCCCATAAATAATGACAGAACCAATGAATACTTAAATATAAAGAATGCAAGCATGACAAAAGAAGTACTGGAACCTAGCAACAGAGAATCCTACTCATATTCGATTTAATCTTTCTTCTTACCAGTTACATAAAAATAGACAAATTGTGAAACGAATAAGCTAATATACTTCATAGAGTTCATATAATTTAGAATAATTTTTCAAAATTCTCAAAAGAATAGTTAGTTACCTTAACAAGCGAAGGAAGAAGAGAAGACCATTTTTCAAATAATTGTAATTCAGCGTCCATTCAAAGCGTCATGTTATGAATCAAATGCACTGATTAGCCATAGAGGATTTTCCAAACATTCTGGAATTTTATGCAGACAATTCCTTCAGTATGTAGTTAAATGAAACAGAATTCACTTAAGAATAAGGATAAAGTGTAACTTTCATACATATTTTGAGAGCGCTTAATATAGGCAAAAGATTTATTCTTAATTTAAAAACAGGGTACTTGAAGGAAACGTAATAGTAATACTTACGTATTAATTACGTAAGTATTACTATTACATTTACTTCAAATACCCTGTTTGAAGATGTAATTACGTAATACTTACGTATTACTATTACTATTAATAATGAAATTTCTCTTTCATTTTACTTATATCTAAAATTTTTCCAAAGCCTTCTCTTTGGACAGACGTTTTTAAGGGGCTAATCTAAAATTTTTAAAAAAAATTAGAACACTTCTTAGCTCATTTTAACATTCAGATTCCTTCAATGTAATTTTATCCTTTCCCTATCACGCGGACCAAACTTTTCTAACGTGCTTCCAACAGCAGATATCCCTTTTATGGGTGAAAAATATTATATTTTTACATACATTTTAAAAATCGATTAAAGCTTACTTGTTTCAATATTATCCTAGTGGGCAAGCCCGCCAGATGAGCGGGCTACGACCAAGCAAAATTAATAAGCTCTGTGTACACCTGGAAAGAAAATGTATGAAATGCTTCCTTTTTAAGTTGGTTTGACAAAGTTCAGCTTTGTCTTAGTCTTGATCCATTTCTTTACTAAATAACCTCCCTGTAAATAATACTTTGTGTGATTAATTAAGAACAACTGGGTATCATATGGCTTTGCTTCTTGGTAAATAAAGCACCAACATTCCTCTTAGAGAAACATCTTGAAAAAGCTACGTAAAGCATTCTGCGATTGAAACTGGTTTGCGGTAAATAAATTCCAATTTTCTTCAGTGTCTGTCCCTGTCACTTATTAACAGTCATACAGAATGAAAGCCTGAAAGGAAACTGTCTTTGCTTGACTGAAAAGGAAAGTTCGAATCTGAACGCTAAAGTTCAATACGTGGAATAAAAATTATTGATCTAGCATTCTGTACAGAAATAGATTCACAATCTAAAACTTTTCTCGTAATTTTCTTCACAACAAGCCTTGCAGGCAAAGAGGTGGCTTACAGAAAGCTCAAGCTGTGGATGAAATCCAGCTGATACGTGTCTTGTTCTTTTTCATCATCATTAATAACAGAGTCTATACGGTTATGTGTGGAAATTTGACCTAGAAATTCTTTCGTTAAGGTATCTGCCTTCGTTAAAAAAACGATTTTGGCGAAAAAATTCGATTTTTTATTGCCCAATTTGAAAGGTCAATTTTGTAGGATTCCGAAAATGGTTCATTTTTACGTTTGTGATAATTAGAAGAGAAGGTATAGCCAATTAACTGCACTGGAAGTGAAAGCAGAAAGACCGGAAGTGCCATTTAAAAGGCTCAACTTAAAGGTAAACAATGTTGTTATCCGTGTTTTTTTTTTTTTTTTTTTTTTTACCTGTTTGTGTGTAAAATTGTGCTAAAACATTTCATTTTAATTCTGGGTACTTTTTTTTGTTTCTGGCAATAATTATTTGCCTTAATTTTTGAACTGGGACTGGCAACATTGCGGTTTTTTGAACTGGGTCTGGCAACATTGCGATTAGGTATAAAGACTATGTTGCTGGGTGCATATATAGCCGTAGTTTTAATTTTTAATTTCAGGGTATCTTGGATTACTTCCTGTGTTTGAACATTTAGGCATATCAATTGAACAAGAAATGATTAAAATTACTTTGGAATTGATAACGAAAGAATAAAGAACTCGAAAATTCATTCGTCGCTCATTTCGAAAATAGCCTGAAAAAATTATTAAAATCAAATAGGAAATCAAAATTACTTAAAATATAAAGATATGGAGGGTGTGATGTGTACAAATGTGGAGAATTTTAAGTGTGTAAATACAACAGAACAGTTTTTCTGTTAATGTGAAATCTTTAAATGCGTTTTCCGAAAAACTAATTTTTCTAGTGTTTTTACATACAAGAAATGTAATTACTCAAAATGTTCTAAAGATATCTCTATTAAATTTCACTAAAATGTTTTCTACATTATTTATTAGGTTTTAAGCTACAATCTAAGTAATATTTATTAATTTGATTGTTTTATAAGTATTTCTATATAAAACGATAAGAAATATTTACAAAAAAACTGTGTTTTTTCATGTAATTACACATATTTTAGTAAACTTTAGAAATATCATATACATTTTAGTTCATAACACAGATAAGTGTTGTAGTAGTATACAGTATAAAAAAATTGAAATACATGCTGTGAGAAAAAATATACGGCATTTAACGTAAGTGTTAAATTCTCCTAAAAATTTGCATAAAATTGAATATATTTCAAAAATTTATAAAAATATTCCTAAAAATTTACCTATTTTCATGATTTGATATCATATTTTGACTAAATAAATATATATTTCATCAGAATTCTATATTTTTAAAAAAAAGTGCTCCGAACGTAGGCAGATACCTTTTAAGTTCCAAAGCTTCTTCATTCTTTGGACACAAAATTGCTTTGCTGGCCAAGTCTTGTAAGTTGAAATCATTGCTTCAACCATATATTTCTTCTACTGTTGAATATAGTTCTACTGTTATTGCACATACTAACTAAATTTAAGCATAATAGTCATTTTATTTACTTCTGAAATAAATTAATCGTTAGAGCATCATATAAATTAAAATTTTAAAGATTTCTCTATTTCTAAGTTGAAATGGAAGTATAAATGGGTAAACAAACATGTGTGTCAAATATTTTACTATCTAATAAAATTAACTGTAAAGCTGCCTGCCGTATCCACATTGTCAGCAGAGTTACAGAAATAAAAGTGCAAAATCAAATCTCTTTTGTACGGTGCGTTATATAATAATAGTTCCATGGATAATAGACCGATTGCGCACGACAGAGAACACAAGAAATATCTGGCCAATATGAAGATATACTGGTAATCAAAATTAAAGTATAATGACAGAAAAAAGCATAACTGATATTTAATTAAATATTATTAATGGAAATTTGTACAAAAGGTTAACATAAATTACAATGTCTGGGAGCTGATTATTCGCAAATGATCAAGTCTTGCACGCCACTTTCCTAAACGTGCACTTTTCAACACCTGGAGGTTTCGGGGAGGAATATGACGTGCGAAAATTCAAGGAGAATAATCCATTCGAGTGATATCTTCTGTTCGTAAGTATTCTGACACCACATATACTCGATGAGACTGATCATTGTCATCCATTAGCAAAACCTCTGGGCTAACAGCAACCTAAATATGCTAACTTGGTTCGGAGGTATTCTCCGAGCGGTTACAGAACTCTTTTGATAGCTCGGCGCCGCCGTTTGTCATGACTCCTTCCCAAACCATTAAACCGCTATCGCAGAAACGAGATATTTCGCGTACAAAGGAAGACAAGTTGCGTGTTCCTTCCTCTTTCCAGATTAAAACACGTCTAGAACCACCGTTCAGACTATATCTGGACTCGTCAGTAAACAATACTCGTACTCAGTTGCCTGCCTCCATTGAACATGACGACGGTACTATTTTAAACGGACCCCACCCTGGAAGCTGGAGTGAGTGGGATACAAATCATTGGATTTCAGGCATACATTCTAACTTCGTTAAGCCTTTGTGCAGCAGTAAAACGGCTAATTCGAATTCCTGTGGTATCCTGAATGTCTAAAACTAAAATCTTGTGGTAGCTTTTCGGTTTCTTCGAGCCGATAACGACAGAAAGCGATCTTTTGATGCAATTGATGTTCTTAGTCGTCGTTGATCAGACTGTCTGTCAGCTGATTCAGTGCTTAAAATGCGTCTGCCTTCTCTTGAAATTAAACTTTAACAGATATTCAGATCTTCAACGACTTCCATCTGTGTTTGACCTCTTTTGATTCTACCAATTATTTGCCGCTTTTGACCTTCTCTGAAGTGATGCCTTTGAGTCATAGCTACTGAATGCTGATCACTCTCAGAAACCACATTCACTTTAAACAACACTACAAACCGAAGTTCTAACATGCCTCCATTCCGCATCACATTATCAGTTATGGAATTTGCATATTTCTGGCGCTAAAGTATGCTGGAAATGCAATTTTGTGTTTAATTGTATTTAATTAATATAAATTATAAGGCATTTATCCAGCCCTTTTAGCTTGCCTTCGTGGTGTAGTGATCTGCATGGAGGGCGTGTATTCTAACGAGGTCCGTGTTCGCCGTGTTTCGATTCCCGGCGAAGGCGTTGCTCCTCTTTTCTCATTTCCCCCCCCCCGAAAAAAAAAAAAAAAAAAAAAAGCTTCTACAAAATAATTACAGCACTTGTCACTGGTTGCAACATTAACTTAGCGAGC